CCCTGACATGGACCGGGGATCTACCAGCTAAAGGCGACCTCTAACAGGAAAGAGCTCCCTCAGACTGAGCCAGCAGCTCCGCCTGCCTCCACCTTAGGCCAGGCCACCTTCTCCTCTCCTGCAACCAATTTCCGGCCAGGCCCTGTCAGTGACCCTGAGCGGAGAGGGAAAGAATGAAGGTGGTGGGCAGGACATTCCAGGTGCCTCCTCAGCTATGGGGGGCGTCTCCATGGAGACGAGCGGTGGGCCATGACCAGATGATTATCAGGGCTCCCAGAGTCCTCTCTCCCCTTGCCCAGCCGCTCCCAGCCAGGCCTCCTTGGCTCTGAGCGCAGTGAGGAAGCCTGGCAAAAGCTTCACTCTTCACAGGGGCTTCTGGGAAGCTGGTCAAGGTGACTGAATCCGGTGGGAGGCTTTATTCCCAGAGGGCTCTGGAGACGGGGAAAGGCAGTACTCACCCCTTCTCCACACCACATCATATCACACTCTGACCTGAAGGTATGACCAAGACAGCCAAAGGAGGGGACCTGGGTCAGGTTAGTCAGTTTTCAGCCCGCTCAGAGCCTCCCCCCACTGGCAACCTTGGCTGTCCCATGAGTCCCCCTTAGTGCTTTCCCCACCCAGGCCTCCTAGTTTGGGGCCATACGCAGGAACGAGACGGGAACATAGACCCTCTTCCTGCTCCCAGAGCTGCTGGAACTCCCAGTGTGCTGGTGAGAGCAGGAAAAAGCTTCCAGAGTTATCGTCACTATCTTGGTGTCTGCCCCACTCTTGAGCTGAAGTGGAAGGGCAGTGAGACCTGCAGAGGCTGTGAAACGAGATTCGCAAACACAGGTTGGGACTGTGCTTCTGCCCTCCACCTGCCTGGGAATGACTCTCTCCCGACTCCATACATACTACCCTCTGACCCCTAATTGGTGACAAGACTGCTTTCAACCCACACAGGGAGCTCAAAAGGAAGCGTCATAATAATAATATTTAATATTGTTATTGTATATTCTATAGCACTTCCTACCACACCTGGCATTGTTCCATACATATGTTATCTCATTTAATCCCCACCTAATGCAGCCTAATGAGGTAAGTACTAGTATTATCCCCATTTTACAGATAAAGAGACTAAAGAGGAGAAAGGTAAACTGTCAGGTCCAGCAGGAACAGTGTATCCTGGGAGGGCTGCACCGAGAAGAGCTGGAGGGGCTTTCACAGAGGTGGGGGCAGGGCCACCGGGTCCAACAAGGGACGGTCTGGGACTAACAGCAAGCAGCCACTGCCCCGTAGTGGGAGGCGGCGAGAGCAATGTGACCGAAACACAGCGAAGCCCTGCAAAGGGCACCGATATCTTGACCTTTCTCCACCCCGCCCCCCAACCACTCCCACCTTCCCTGCTCTCTGATTTCCTAGCTGTGCTTCCCACCTGCCAGACCCAACTGGAAGCCAGAGACCCAGGCAGTACAGCCCATAGATATTAGCCTCCTGGGGCACAGAGCAGGCTGGAGATTGGATCTGGGGGACACGGAGACTCCACATGCCTAGGAAGGACTGGTTTGGAACAAGGGTCATCTGGACCCAAAGACCCGCTCCCTGAGAGGTTGCAAAGGGGGGTTAGAGAAGCCAGACTGGGGACAGAAGACTGGATTCTAGTCCCAGGTCTGCTGCACTGCTCTGTGACCCTGACCGAGACTCTGGTCCTCCGTTTCCCCTTTACACGAAGAGGAGGTGTCCCACTCTGGGACAGCCAAGGTGCCCAGACAGACGGAGCCTGTGTTCCCACTGCCTACCTCTCCCTTGCCTCAAATAAGCCTGGCTCCGAAGGCTGAGGGCCCAGCGTCCTTGAGGAAGCCGTGCCAGATGCTGGGCAGACACACCCGCTCCTCTGCCCGCCTCGGGACTCAGACTTGTCCCAGGTAAACTCCTTCGGGCTCCCTGAGGGCCCGGCTCCTCAGTCTCTCCTCCCTTTGTGCTGCCAGCATTCCCTGGCCCACAACTCAGAACCCCACCCAGGACGGGCTCCCTCCTCCCAGTGAGGAGGTGCAGGACCCTGCCTAGGCCAGCACCCCACAGACCCTCCATCGGGCACCAAGGGCGTCCCTGACCACTGAGATCTGTGTTCCGGCGGAGTATTCTCTTCTCTCCCCTTCCCACCCCACCCAGCTCTACTCCACCCATGCTGCCCCGGGGGAGGGGGGGCGCCCCACCCAGGTTTTCAGACAAACAAAATCAAGGAGAAAGAGTTAGCAAAGAGGAGGGAGCTCATTACCAAAAATTAAGGAGGTGGCATGCCCTGGAGTAAGATGAGCGGGACTGGGCTGGCAGGTACGCACGGAGATGGGCTCCAAGGTACACAAGATGTTCACTTGTCAGTACACAAAGACCCAGACACAGAGCCAGGCAGTGACAGAGCCAGAGCCAGAGACAGAGACGACAGAGACACGGTGGGCCAGAGGCACAGACCCACAGAGACAACCAGACACCCTGAGAGGGAGACCCGCACACGCAGCAGCCCTGGGAGTGCACGCTTGCCTGTGCTCACACAGAGGCGGGCGCACAGGAGGCGGGAGCCAAGCTCAGGTTTTAGGGAGACTGATTTCAATCCACACAAGTCAGAACGTCAAGGAAACACGGGCTCCTCCAAAGTGGGCCGTGGAAAGGACTCAGCCCGGGAGGCAAGGACAGAGGTGGGGCGTGGGAGCTGTCTAGCCCCCCACAGGGCGATTCTCCTCCCAAGTCCACCGTGGAAAATGGATTCAGGTACTTTCCTAAAGTGAACAAAGAGATTTCTTTCTGGAATGTGCTCTCGGCCAGATCGGCTAATCAGAGGCATCGCCGGGAAGTGTGTGGCGAGGTGGGAAGCTTTCCTCCTGGCCCTGGCACTCCCTGCCACTTGGCTCAGGTCCCTCCCAGCCTCTGCCCTGCCTCACTGCTCCTGGCCAGGCCTCACCCTTTCTCATAACAACTGACCCTCCATCCAACATGTCCCCTTGGCTGGGTGCTCTTCTGCCCTCCACACCTGTGTGTGTGGCCCCCTCTTGTGTCTCCCTTCAATCTTACCCCAAAAGCCTCCTCTAGTCAGGGCACAGCAAGCCATCATCCCCACTCTTCTCCTCCCCTCCCGCCACCCCCCCCACCTCGGCAGGAAATTCAGAATCTGTGAAATGAATCTGATGCAGAAGAGGATGTTGAATTCAATGACCTTAAAAACCACAGCGTTCAGTATCTCTCCTTCACCACCACCCGCTTCCCCAGCTCTGCAGGAAAAGCCATGAGGTGAGGTGACATTTATTGACTGTTTATCATCCGCTGGTCATTGTGCTAAGTCCCTTTCATGAATTATCTTCCATTACTTCCTCCTTTCAGTATCTCCCAATTCACAGATGAGGAAACTGAGGTTCAGAGGGGAGAATGATCACCCCCAGGTCCCACAGCTAGAGAGAGGGCAAGCTGGGCCTGGAATCCAGGCTTGACTACTTTCCTTAAGCAGGTAAACTCCTTAACCAGGCCTCCCATCACCAGAAGGCCTCCCACCACCGCCTGAGCCGACTGGTCAAGGTCAACAGCAGGATTTGGGAAGAAAGGATGGCGGAAAGACATGGGGGATGCGGGGGAAGACAGCAGGTGGGACACTGCAGGTGGGATCAATGTGGCTGGAATGAAACTCTGAAGCCACATGAGTTGCCCTTCCTCCCCCAGGGCCTGGGAAGGGAACACTCCCTCTGGCATGCTTCCCTCCAACATTCCATCCACTCCTCTTGCGAGCTGGGGACAAAGAAGGGTGGAGACCTGCGATGGAGCTGCCTTCTCCCACCCCACCCCCAGAGTCCTCGCTGTGTGACCCTGCTTTTGCCACCCACCCTCTCTGGGCTATGGTCTACTCATCTGTGAAATGGCTGGGGAGCAAGAGCTGGTTTAGCCTCTAACACTCACAGTCCTCCTGCCAAACCCAGGAATCCTCGGCGCCCGTGGGGTTAACTCTGCAGGAGGGCTTGGGTTGAGGCCACCTTCCCTTTTATTCTCAGTGAAACTTGAGGATTGGGTGAGGAAGGAGAAGGTGAGAAGGAGCATGTGATTGCCTGCCAGAGCTTCCTGGGCTCAGGTGTGCCAAGCCCTTTGCCTTCCTGTGCAGTCAGGGCACCAGCGTCCGTCAGCCCAACCCCAGATGTGCCTCAGACCGGAGAACTGAAACCGGGGGAGACAAGGGTGCATGCAGCTTGGTCTCTGGGATCGGACCACTGACTGTAGAAGATGATGGAAGCATGGGGATGGCTTCCCGGAGGAGGAGGCATCAGAGCAGATCAGGAGGGTTTTAGTGAGTGGGCAGGTTAGGAAGGCACAGGAGCACACAGAGAAGTCGGATGGATGGAGCGTTGTGAAGGGATGGCTAGGGCCAGGGGCCAGGGCCTGCAGGGCCTGAATGCAGGGGGGGTGGGGGGAGGGGGCCGTGGATTATCTCTGGACAGTGGAGAAAGCCATGGAAAGAGATTCACTTTCAGAGGGGGTTTCAGAACAATCCCTCTGGTTGCTATATAGAGTGACTGGGACAGGCCTGGAGGTAGGGAAGCTGCTAAGGGGCTGTGACCAAGCAATGGGTGGATTTTGGCGAAGCCTAAACAGCTGCCAGCTGTAGAAGACAATATAGGTTCCCGGTCTGATTGGACTCCTCCAGCAACGGAGAGCTCACTGTTTCTTGGGTAGCTGCCCTCCCCGCCAGGCAGCTCTGCCTGGGAGGACGCTCTCCCCTAGGCCAGGCTCAGCCCCTCTTCCTAGGCTGATGGGGAGTGCAGGGGTCAGGAAGGGGATGCCATTCACGTGCGGGACTCCCAGGAAGATGGGAGCTTGGGGGAAAGTGTGGCGCCGCTGAGTTCAAGCTGAGAGGAAGGGGCTCTCTGACCTGGCTGCGTGCTCCTGGCTGGGCACGCTGGGTATTTGTGTCCAGATACGCGGACGCTCCTTAGCTGGCCCCAGGAGCACAGCAGGACCAGCAGACAAATGTTGACACAATGGGCAGTTTCAGGCATATATTTTATTGTTGTTGTTTTGTTTTTTTATAAAAGCAAGAGTATATGTATTGAGTGGAGGATTAAGAGAGTAAAGACCCAATTTAGAGTCTCCAACCCCGCCCCCCTAAAACTAAGACATCTGCTATATATGTGTGTGTTTTTTTAAAAAAAGAGCAAATATGAAACTTATGACCTGGACTTCACCCCACTTCTCATGCCTACATTATGACAAAACACGTTATTCAGCTCCTACTTATATACAGTCAACGGCTCACACCTGGGCTGTGGCCCCCTCCTCCCAGCCCTGCCCATATTCCCCTCGTACCATCCCCAAGGCCTCCCCTGAGCCCCTGCTTGGAAAACAGGGCAGACACACATGCACTCAGAAACATATCTGGACCCTCCTCCACCTGCAGCCCCTGAAACATGCAGGCCCCTGACACTTTCCTCACTCCCCCCCAAACCCCCCTTAACCCCCTCACCCCCAGCTAAAATCCTTCCACTTGGTCCTTTGCCCTGAATATCTGGGGAAACACACACACACACACACACACACACTCACACACAGAAGCACACGCACACACTCACGTACCCGCTGCCCATTCCCTCCCTTGGGGAGACAAAGTTCTGTTGGCCCTACGCTCTGTCCATCACAGTTTAAGGACAGTGGCCTGAAGTCCTATGTGGGCAGGGGCCAGTGGAAAGTCCTGGAGGGACTGTCCAGAGGGGTGGGGGCAGACAAGGAGCTTCTCAGACTGGAGGGAGGTCGTGAGGGGGACTTCCAGGGAGCAGCCCCTGCACAGTCAGTGGATGCTCCAGGGGGAGGGGCAGGGGTGGCCCTGCCCACTCAGACCTGCTCCTTGTGCTTCACGTGGGCCAGCTTCACATTCTCCTGCTCAGTGGAGGGTGGAGGCTGCTCCAGGTGGCAGCCGATCATGAGCTGGTACACGAAGACTCCCGCAATGGAGCCCAGGAGCGGGGAGACGATGGGCACCCACCACCACTGGCGGCCGGTCCTGGGGGGCAGAATATGGAGTTAGGGGCGGGCGGGGCCAGCAGAGGGAAGGCAGGCTGAGGCTGGCTGGGTGGGGGTGGCACTCACGTGAACACTTCCGAGCCTCAGCCGGCGATGGCGGTGAAGAGGCGGGGGCCGAAGTCCCGGGCAGGGTTGACAGCGTAGCCAGAGTTGAAGCCCATGGAGGTGCCAATGACCAGAACCACCAGGCCCACGGTGAAGGCCTCCAGGCCCCGGGGGACCGGGTTGTTGTAGGGGTCCACAATGGCCAGCACACACACGATGAGGGAGGCTGTGCCGATGAACTGGCGAGCAGGGAGAGCAGGGTGAGGAGGAGCCCCCACCCCACCCTCTGGCCCCGCCTTTGGGCCTCTGGCTTCCCTCCAGCTCTTAGTCTTGTCACCGCCTGCTTTCTCCTCCATAGGACAGTGGTGCTAGGATTTTTTCAGGGGTAAGGGTCCTCTGGGGAGCTGGTTAAATATAAAGAGCTGCCATTCTGACTCTGACGGAGGTGTCCCCACACATGGAGGTGTCCCCACACTGTGAGAAACTCTGCTTTAGACAAGGAGCCCTGTCCCCCAGCGAACCCCTCAGCAGCCCAGGGCAGCCTGGTCCCCTCCCTGTGTTCCCTTCACATGTCCCCAGCCCATACCTGGTCGAAGAAGCCATTGACCATGTCCAAGTGTCCAGAAGGATAGGTGGCAAAGATGCCAGCTGTGCCGTTGGGGCCCGAGACTATAAGCTGGTTGTCAGCAAAGGCCAAGATTGCATCTGATGACAGGTTAAACCCCAAGTGGGTGAGTGCAGAGGCCTGAGCCCAGTTTCTCCTCTTTGGCTGGACCCACCCTCCCAGGGGTCATGGGTAAGTAGAATCACTGCTGTTTACTCAGGAGCCGGAGGCAGTGAGGTGGGTGGGGTGAGGGCCTGAGACGCTATTGTTGCCCAACTCGTTTATTTCCCCTGTGCCCCGCACCTTGGGCTTGTGCGTGAATGAGTGAGTCATGAGCCGGGGGCCTGGGCAGGCCCCATCTGTCTGTCATGGGAGGGCCTGATGCCAGCAGGTCCCAAGTAGGAGGAGGGGGTAGTGGAGGAGGGTAATGCTTACCATAGTACAGCCCGAAAACGATCCCAGCGCCCAGGAAGGCTCCCAGGGTCTGCGCCAGGGTATAGATGGGCAGCTTGATCCAAGGCTCTCTCGCCAGGAAGCACATGGCAAAGGTCACAGCGGGGTTCAGGTGGGCCCCTGCACAGATGGGAGAGGGGACCTATTGGCCATCGCCTGCCACCGTGGGGAGGCCAGGATTCCACACCACCTTCATGTTCCCCGTCTCTGGCCCGGGGGAGCCGGGGTGCAGAGAAGGGTTTCTTGTACCAGATGGCGGGTTGGATTGTGGAACAGGCCAACTCTGCTAATCTCTGATTCCAAGGTGAGAGTCAGAGTCTAAGTACCAAGTTCCTTCTCCACTCCTCTCTTCCCAGGGCTCAGAGCTCAGGCCACAGCTATGCCCTGCCCTTGGGAATGTCCCCCCACCCCACTCCCCAGTGGGGCCCCTTGTGAGAATGTTTTGAGGGTGGAGCAAGGCCTTACCGGAGACCTGGCCAGCAATGAGGATGCCCAGGGTGACGGCAAAGCCAAAGGCCAGGTTGATGGTAAGGAAACCACCATGGGTGCCCCGGCTGAGCACGACCTGGGCCACGGAGCCACAGCCAAACATCTGTGTCAGGAAACAGAAAAGGCAGAGAGGGTGAGGCCCGGCTGAGGCGCAGCAACTCTCACTTTAGAGGGAAGGGTGAAGCCAGCAACCTCTGCCTGCCCCATCAGGAGGACGGAGGGCCGGTCCTGGACTTCAACCGAAACCCTTCCTGCTGCAGTTGCACTCTGAGAAGAAGCGAACATGCCCTTCCACCTGCAATATCCCAACTCTAACATAACAGGTCCCCGTGGAAGCAGAGTCTGCAACTGGGCGCCCTAAAGATGGCTGAACCATCTTCATGGATTTTTCTTGAACCTCAACAGGAGTGGGGTGGAGGAGAACAGTTTTCATCTTAGCAGTTTCTCCCCAGCCCTTCACTCACTCATCCCCCACCTGCAGGTGCCTCCCTTTTTGCCCCAAAGAAGAGCTAGGTGGTGGTGGTGGTGGTGGTGGTGGTGGTGGTGGTGGTGGTGATGGGGGCGGCACAAAGAAATGGGGAGGAGGCCAGAAATTAGGCTGAATCCACTTCTCCTGAATCTGGGATGTCAGAGCCCCTGCCCATGCCCCTGGCTCCCCTCAGCCCCTCTCAGCACCCTCGCCCTCCTTGACCTGTCCCTGTTCTAGAGCCTCCTCTCTCCACCAGCCCTGACCTCTCTGCCCTCAGTGGTCCAGGGGCCTCCTCAGATGTGGGAGTTCCTAAAGATAATAAGTGGTTCCTCTCACTAGCGCCTAGTCCATAAGCTTTCTTGCCAGGGCCGAGATTAGTTCTAAGCTCTCTACCAAGTCCTCCAAGAACAGAATGGTCAAGAGAACTAAGTCCTATAAGAACAGAATGACTGTTTCCCGTGACAATGTAAATGCTTCTGCTCCGGTTGTAAAGGGCTATTGCCCTGAGCCCCCAGAGTATCCCCCAAAGCTGCTCCAGCCCCTGCCCAAGTCTCCTCTCTCACCTTCCCATAACTAAAGGTTTGCTATCTACCCAGCAGGCATGTGCTAAGGGTCCCTGTCAATTCTGATGGGTCAGTGTCCTGTGGACTGGGTTGTTAGGCATTCTCATTATCATCCCTCAGAAAGATCAAGAGATAGTGGAGAAGCCAGCGGCAAAGGTGACGCAGGACAAAGGTGTACAGGCAGGTGCGAGCAAAGATCAGAGGTGGTGAGTATGTGGGGGTAGGAGGAGTGACGGGCACGTGTGGGTCTGGGGAACCCTGCTGCGCTTGGCAGGCTCTGGTCTCAGTTCCTTGCCCGCCCGAAGGCCAAACCTGGCTCCATCCCAGGAGGCCTTGGAGTGAGAAGCCGTCAGAGCCAGTTCTACCACCTTGGGGCTAATCTTCCTCTTCCTCACCCTCCTCCTCCCCAGTGCCCCTCCCTTACTAGGTACCCCAGAGAAACGGGCTCTCCTGGCCCTAAAGCCAATTCTGATTCCACTACTGCAGGCTCTAGGCCCCCAACCCTCAGAGGTGTACGCAGGCAAGCCCTCCCCCACCTCTCGGGGGGTCTCCCAAGCCTGGCTCTCTCTCTTCAGGCTGCCCTTGAGGTGCTGCCTTTCACTGACACCCAATGCCTCGCACTCACCTGAGCCTGAAACCCTCCTTCCTGGGCTCAGCACTAGGCCTGACTGCTCCTTTGTGGGGGAGATGAACTGAGACTTGGGAGGGGACAGGGCGGCCCCTCCGTGAATGTGGAAAGCAACGTCCCCTGGCCTGGCTGCTCTCAAACGGGGACAGGGAGTGGGGGACTCAGGGCTCTGGGACGGGAGAATGACAAGCACCTGCCCCACTCCTGTCCTGGCACAGGGGAGGGAGGGACGGGGATGACTGGTAGGGCCACTCATCTTGTGAGGGGCTGTGGAGAAAGTGCCCCCTGGTTTCCTTACCCCCCCCTTCCTGTTTCCAGAGGTGAGTCTCAGCTCTCCTCTTCCCACGGTGCCAGTTCCATCACTGCCACCCATTGGGGTGGGCCACGCCAGCCCTCCCTGCCTCTGGTTAAGCTTCCAAGTCGGCAGGGGGCTGGCAGGTCTGCAGGACCTGGGGCTGGGGCTGGGGCTGGGGCAGGAACGGGGTAGCCTACCCGCCACAGTGGAGCAACCCAACCCAGAAGTAACCAACGGGGAAAACAGAGGTAACCACCACAGGAGCGGCTGAAAATCAGAAACTGGGACAGGAAATGGGGACTCTAACCGCTGTGTCTGCCAGACCCAAAAAATGCAAACAGTCACCCAGGAACAACCCAGGGACGAAACTGGTGTAACCAGGGAGTAACTGGGTCTGGGGAGTAACCAGGCAGGGGACGTGTCCACTCGAGAACCCACAGAGTAGCTCAGAGCCTGGGTAACTGGCAGGGTCTGGGAGTGGCTCAGCAGGAGGGGAGCCCCTTCAGGGACACCACTTCCTCTGCGCCTGAGCCCCACGCCTTCCACAGCCTCCTATCAGCAGGATCCTGCTTTCCTCTCGCTCTGCTGTTTGCACCCTGTGGGCCTCCGCCCTCTGCCCCAACCCGTGGCAAACTGTCCTCATGGGAACTTTTGGACTTTCTGAGGCTTAATTATTCATTAGGGGCCAGGTATCAGAAGCCAACTAACCTAATAGGGGCCCATCTGCCTCTGCCCCCACTGCGTCCTGGGCTGGGACGCTGAGAACTTGGGGAGCCATGGGAGCCTGGAGAAAGGGCTGAAGGTCCCAGAGGGCAGGGGTGGCCGCGGCCAGCCTGTGGGCTGGGTCACTGGGGAGTGACAGCCCTAGGAGATGGGGTGAAAGCCAGGCGGGGAGAGCACTCTGGGAGGGATCAGGGTGGGGATCAGAGCTGGGAGAAGGGTCAGGGCTGTCTTGAGAAGCACAGCGCTCCGATGCACAGGGTTAGGGTGGGTAGGGGCGGGGGCAGAGGGGATTCCCTAGGTCCCCCCACTCACCACGAGGATGAGGGTTCCCAGGCACTCAGCCAGCGCCTGGCGCAGCAGCCGGTAGCGGATGTGGAGCATCTCCCCGCAGCGGTTCACCAGCTCCTTCTGTCGACCCATGTCGGGGCAGTTAGCGACGGGCGGGCAGGTGGCAGAGCGCGGAGGGAGGCGGCGGGCGGGGCGCAGTGCCCGTGAGCGCCGGCTGGCGCCCTTTATAGCGGCGGGAGGCACAGGTCCCGCCCGCCCCGCCGCCCCGCGCCCCGCCCGCTCAGTCCTGCTTCGCACGCCTTTAGCCTGCCCGGCCCCGCAGGCGTGGGCGGCCTCCCCACACCTTGCCTGGGAGGTTGGTGGGGATGCGGGGTTGGGGGGTGCTAATGAGGAAGGTGGAGGAACTTGGGGTGTGAGGGACCTTAGGAGTGAGGTTGGCCCCGGAGAGCACTTGGGGGAAGATGTGTCTTGGAGGCTGAGGGCCAATGGTGGGGTTCAGGCATGTGCAGGGCGTGGCTGGGGGGAACGGAGCTGCCAGGGAGATTGCCTTGGCCCCCGACCCCGAGCTTTGCTGTCATCCCCGCCATGGACATGTCAGAAAGGGCTACAGGATGGCTGGAGCCAGCATGTCCTCAGTCAGGGGGCTGGAGGGAGGAGGCTGTGGGCCCCAAGGGCGAAGAGACCCTCTCATAGACCAACGCGGGGGCACACAGAACGCGTGCTGAGTTCCAGCCAGAGCGCACGGGCCTTTGCTCCTTCTGCTGTGAGTGCTTCACATGTTGCATGACCAGCTCTGTCCACACATGACATCGGTCTTGTAGGCCTGATCACACTCGCCGGGCATCTCTCATGGCTGTGCACATCCTGTCTGATATGGCTGAGTTGGCTGAGGTGGTCACACATGTACCTGAGTGCATTTTGCACATGGCTGCAGGGACTGAAGTTGTCCATGCCACATGCTTGCCTGCAGAGTAGGTCCCAGCTGGGTTTGTTTTCCTTAATTTTTTTGTTAATCCTCACCCGAGGATATTTTTCCCATATTTTTTTTTTTTAAGAGAATGAAAGGGAGGGGGAGAGACAGAGAGAGAAACATCAATGTGAGAGACACATCGACTGGTTGCCTCCCGACCGGGGCAGGGATTAAGCCTGCAACCAAAGTAGGTGCCATTGACCAGAATCGAACCAGCAACCCTTCAGTCCTCAGGCTGACGCTCTAACCACTGAGCCCCCGGCTAGGGGGCAGCTGTTTTTAACCCTCTCCTCTCCCACTCTGGTTGATCCTGTCCAAGGGAGAGTCTGTCCTTTTAAGAGATTGAACTGCTTAAACTGTTGGGGAGTCAGCCCCATCTGCGGGGTGGGTGTCGTTCAATAATTGGGAATCTGAGGTTTGGTGGCCTGGGCCCAACTCCCACAAGACTGGAAGCAAATATGCCCTCACCCCAGTCCCTTTCATAGCACTGCCAGGGGAGACCAAAGAAACCACTTTTACCAGATGAACTTTTACCAGATGAACTTAACCCAGGTGGGCAAAGGGCCCTGGGAACTTGTCCCTTGAGAAATGGCTGTCAGAAATGAAGGTTCCAAAGGTGACTAAAGCCCAAAGAGATGGGATTTAGCAATACATATCAGGTACCCACATGCGTGCTGACAGCCACACAGCCTATGGACACTGAGCTCTGGTCACATGCTCAAGGGGTCCCATTTACATGAGAACCTGGTCATATATATGGAACCCACATACAACATCTCTCATACCCTTGGCTCAGAGAGATGCACCCCACCTTCTGGGCCCCCATGGGCTGGGAGGTCCCATGGTGAATCAGGGTGCCATCACTGAGTGTCTACCCACAGACTCGCTGCCAGTGTGTGACTCAGGACAGAACCCTAGACTCCTGGTGCCAGAGCCCAGCCTGGGAAGGGGGAACATGTCTCCCTCCCTTCTCCCTGCCTCGTGATGTACTTCTCAGCTCCTCGCTGCCTCCGGTGGGGCTGCAAAGGCAGCATAGGTGGGAACAGGCAAGGGAGTCCTCACAGTGAAGAAAGTGGAGAACCCCAGCCCAGAGCACCTCCTCCTGAGCCTGTCAGCCTGGAACCCAGAGCAGGGGAGAGAAACAGGCAGCTCTGCCACCAGCAGGCACCCACAAGGTTACTGCACACAGTTTGCACTCAGCTCACAGAGGTGTTCCCACGTGCTGCAGGGGAGAGCAGATCACACATACAGCCAAGGACTTGCGTATCTTGTTCACATTAAGCAGCATTTATTAATACATGTGCACCTACATGTACTCACTGTGTGCAGGTATGTATGTGCCCACCTATAATCTGAGGCTACAGTTCACCACAATCATCTTTGCCACCCCCTCTAATGGAGGCGGCTCCATGCCAAGGCACATGGTTTGGCAAGAGGAACACGAGCTGGCTCTCATTTCTCTATGGTCCCGAATCAGGGCTCAACCTTCAGGACCGTGTCCCCATACACTCCCACCAAACTCATTCCTCTCTGTAACTGGTGGTTACACGCATGTTCATATGCGTGCATACACATGCACATTGGTACGTGCTAGGGTTGGAGCTGAGCAGGTATGGGTAGGGCTTCATGCTTCCTAATGGGCCTGAGAGGACCCAGCCTGGAGGAGGGGAAGGGTGCAATGCCCCACAAGGGTTCCTTGTCCCTGTCAGCTCTCCTGAGGTCATTTGGGACTAAGAGGGGTCAGGGCCCGAGGACACCTGTCCATAAACACCAGGCTAGTGTAGTCCATGTGCATGGCGCCCCCTGGCTGAAAAGGCAGAAGGAAGCCTGGCTTCACAGAGAAGAGAGTGAGTCTGGCGAGGCCCTGACTGAGTCACACAGCTCCCTGGAGCCCTCGGGGCTCCCTGCTGTGCTTTGGGAAGGAAAGCCAAGGCCAAGTGCAGGCTGGAACCCAGCCCACCTGGGAGCTCCTGGCGGAGGCTCCATCTCCTCCCAGGGCATCTTGAGCAAGGTGTGTGTCTCACCTGGGTGGAAGGGCTGAGCTCACGGAGGGGTCTTGACCCATCCACCCGTGGGAGGCTGTGACTCCTTGAGGTCAGAGCTGGGGGAGTGGGTTCCCGGTCAAGGGAAGGGCTGAAGATGCAAGTCCCAGCCTGCTGAATCAGAGGTGCTGGCTGGGGCGCTGTAAGGAGTGGGGTGTGGAACACCCATCATTTCCCGCCCCCAAAACATTTTTGCCTGAATGGGTGCAGCCTGAAACAGCAGAAGAGACGGGTTTTGCTGTCAGCAAGTGGGGTGAAGAAGAATATCGACATAGAAAATGAATAATGCTACAATCCCCCCAGCCTCCCTGACCTCCCTAACCTCTTCCAGAGCATTGGAGCAGGCTGATGGAGGAGGCCAAAACAGACATAGGCATTTCCAATGTATTTTTATTTATTTATTCACATACTTATCCTCATCCAAGGATATTTTCTCCACTGATTTTTTAAAATATATTTTATTAATTTTTTACAGAGAGGAAGGGAGAAGGATAGAGAGTTAGAAACATCAATGAGAGAGAAACATCAATCAGCTGCCTCCTACACACCCCCCATTGGGGATGTGCCTGCAACCAAGGTACATGCCCTTGACCAGAATCGAACCTAGGACCCTTCAGTCCGCAGGCCGACGCTCTATCCACTGAGCCAAACCGATTAGGGCTCCACTGATTTTTAGAGAGAGTGGAAGGCAGGGGGAGAGACACAGAGAGAGAAACATCGATGTGAGAGAGACACATCTAGCAGAGATATGTGACCTTGACCAGAAGCGAACCCGCAACCCTTTAGTTACAGGCTGACACTCTAACTACTGAGCCAAACCAGCCAGGGTCACATTTTCAGTTTTAGAATGTACTTCCTCCCATATACAAAACAATCCCCAGAAGTGGGTATATTTTTCCCTTTCCACAAATGACAAAACTGAAGTTTGGAGAGAAGTCACTTGCTAAGGTCTTATTCGACCACTGAGTATTGAGCTTGGGATTCAGACCCCATGGGGATGGGGAGAGGCGGTAAAAAGGACAGCGACCAGGGAGCCACAGGAAGCCCCTTCACGCGTGAGCCCCCTTTCTAGAATGCGCACCGCTCTTAGGCCCCTGCTGGACACCCTTCCTGTTTCTGGGCCTTGGGAGTCGGGGTAGCTGTAGGCTGGCATGGGGAGTGGAGAACAGAGATGAATCACTGAATTATGAGCGTCTCCAGACTGGGGGGCGGGCAAGCATCTCCTCCTACTGCGCCAACAGCCACCCCCTGTCTGCAGACAGACAGACGAGATGGCAGGGAACCTGTGAATGGGAACCTACCCCTCAGGCACCGCCAGCCAGATGAGCAGCTGGACGTTGAGAAAATCTACCTTTTGACCCATATCCTGGGAACTCTGGGTTCACTTCCTGGTGTCCCTGAGCTGCCCTCGGCACCCTTTGAGGACAGCAGAGGGTCATGGAGGGGAGTCAGTGGGATGGGATAGAGACGTAGACCTCTTGCTGAGTCATAGGGGCAGGCTGATGGGGGCAGAGCCCTCTTACAGACCTAGAATTTCAGTTCTAAGCCTGGCTTGGCCACTGACCAGTCAGGGGCCCTGGCCAGCTCTCCTCCCTCACCTCTCAGAGCCTCAGTGTCTCCATCAGCCACCTGGAAGCTTCAGGTGGAGTCCTCTCCCAACCCCAGACCCAGGGCCTCGGTCAGAATCAAACAAGATTGTGGATGTTTTTCAGGCTTTGAAAACTGTATTATACAGTCAACATAGAAGAAAGGATTCATTCCAGAAGCTGCCTCCTTCATCAGAGCCTCATGTCTTCATGTGTGAATAGCCACGTGTGTTCTTGGGCTGTGTGTATGCATGTATCCAAAAAGGTCTGTGTGTACATGTGGGCAGCCATGGGGTCCACACATGTATGTATGTATGTATCCATGAGGGCCTTTGTGGGCAAATGTGTGTCCACGGGGGCCTGTGTGTGGCCTTGTCTGGGACTAGTTATGGATCTGTGTCCAGTGTTTATAAAAGCCAGAGATAGGAGACGGGGATCTGTTAAGGAGTCTGAAGAGGCACTGGCTGGACACTTGGGCGTGCCCCATGCCAGCCCGGGAAGAGCAGAGGTAGTGACAAGAGGCTGACACGGACCAGGCTATCACTGCAAACAGGCCTAGGGTGTCCGAGGGCTCTGGTTCACACCTCAGGACCAAATTCCTGGAGCCCCTGGGTATTGAGCTGGGATTCCAA